ATGGGGCTTTAGGGTCTCTATGGGGTCATGGGGTCTCTTTGGGGTCCCTATGGGGCTTTGGGTTCCCTATGGGGTTCCCTATGGGGTTCCCTATGGGGTTCCCTATGGGGTCTCTATGGGGTCTCTATAGGGTCTCTATGGGGTCTCTATGGAGACTTTGGGGTCCCTATGGGGGTTTAGGGTCCCTATGGGGTCCCTATGGGGATTTAGGGTCTCTGTGGGGTCTCTATGGGGTCCCTATGGGGGTCCTGGGGTCTCAAAGGAGCCTCTATGGGGGTCCTGGGGGGCTATGGGGCAGACTGATGACTCTACAGGGTCCCTGTGGGGTCCCTATGGGGTCTTTATTGGGTCTCTGTGGGTCCTGGTGTCTCAATGGGGTCCCTATGGGTTCTTGGTATCTCTTTGGTGGCCCTATGGGGATTTTGGGGTCTCTATGGGGTCCCAGTGTCTCTATGGGGTCCCTATGGGGATTTTGGGTCCCTATGGGGTCCCTATGGGGATTTTGGGGTCCATATGGGGGTTTAGGGTCTCTATGGGGTCTCTATGGGGTCCCTGTGGGGTCTCTATGGATCCCTATGGGGCGCTATGGGGTCTCTATGGGGTCTCTCTGGGTCCCTATGGGGAACTGTAGGGCCTCTGTGAGTCTCTATGGGTCCCTATGGGGCACATTGGGTCCCGGTGTGTCTCTATGGGGCACAGAAGGGTCTCTATGGGGTTTCTATGGGTCCCTATGGTTTCTATGGGTCCCTTTGGGGTCTCTATGGAGTCCCTATGCATCTCTATGGGTCCCTATGAGTCTCTATGGGTCCCTATTTGTCTCTGTGGGGCTCTATGGGGCTCTATGTGTCCCTATGGGGTCTCTGTGGGTCTCTATAGGGTACTAAGGGTCTCTGTGGGTCCCTATGGGTCTCTATGGGGTTTCTGTGGGTCTCTATGGGTCCTTATGGGTCTCTATGGGTCCCTGTGGGGTCCCTATGGATCTCTGTGGGTTTCTATGGGGCGCTATGGGTCTCTGTGGGGTCTCTATGGGTCTCTATGGGTCCGTATGGGGTCTCTATGGGGTTCCTATGGGTCTGTATGGGTCCCTATGTGTTCCTATGGGTCCCTATGTGTCTCTGTGGGTCCCTTTGGGTCCCAATGGTTTCTATGGCACTCAGTGGGTTTCTATGGGTCTCTATGGGGCGCTATGGGTCTCTGTGGGGTCTGTATGGGTCCCTATGGGGTCCCTATGGGTCCCTCTTTGTCTCTATGGGGCTCTATGGGTCCCTATGGGTCTCTATGGGGTCCCCATGTGCCCTATGGGTCTCTATGCAGCTCTATGGGGTCCCTATAGGTTCCCTTTGGGTCCCTATGGGGTTTCTATGGGTCTCTATGGGTCCCTGTAGGGTCCCTATGGATCTCTGTGGGTTTCTATGGGGTGCTGTGGGTCTCTCTGGGGTCTGTATGGGTCTCTATGGGTCCCTATGTGTCTCTGTGGGTCCCTTTGGGTCCCTATGGTTTCTATGGCACTCAGTGGGTCCCTATGGGTCTCTATGGGGTCCCTATGGGTCCCTATGGTTTCTATGGGTCCCTATGGGTCCCTATGGGTCCGTTTGGGGTCCCTATGGGTCCCTATGGGTCTCTATGGGGTCTGTATGGGTCCCTATGGGGTCTCTATGGGTCTCTATGGGGTCTCTATGGGTCTCTATGGGGTCCCTGTGGGTCCCTATGGGGTCCCTATGGGTCTCTGTGGGTTTCTATGGGGCGCTATGGGTCTCTCTGGGGTCCGTATGGGGTCTCTATGGGGTCCCTGTGGGTCTGTATGGGTCCCTATGTGTTCCTATGGGTCCCTATGTGTCTCTGCGGGTCCCTTTGGGTCCCTATGGTTTCTATGGCACTCAGTGGGTCTCTATGGGGCGCTATGGGGTCTCTATGGGGCTCTGTGGATCTCTATGGGTCCCTTTGGGTCTGTGTGGGTCCCTATGGGTCTCTGTGGTCTCTATAGGGTACTAAGAGTCACTGTGGGGCGCTATGGGGTCTCTGTGGGTCTGTATGGGTCCCTATGTGTCCCTTTGGGTCCCTATGGTTTCTATGGCACTCAGTGGGTCTCTATGGGGCGCTATGGGGTTTCCATGGATCTCTATGGGGTCTCTATGGGGCGCTATGGGGTTTCTATGGGGCTCTGTGTGTCTCTATGGGGCGCTATGGGGTTTCTATGGGGCTCTGTGGGTCTCTATGGGGTCTCTATGGGTCTCTATGGGTCTCTATGGGGCGCTATGGGGTTTCTATGGGGCTCTATGGGGCTCAATGGGTCTCTATGGGGCTCAATGGGGCGCTATGGGGCTCTGTGTGTCTCTATGGGGTTTCTATGGGTCTCTATGGGGCGCTATGGGGCTCTGTGTGTCTCTATGGGGTTTCTATGGGTCCCCACGCGTCCCCCCGGTGTCGCCGCGTTTCCCGGCGCCGTCCCGCCGTTCATTAAAGCCGTTTCTGACCCCCGCCGCCTCCCGCCTGCGTCGCTCGCCGCCCGTGACGTCACACGGCGCCCGCGACGCAGCTCGATGACGTCACGCGTCGCCGCCGGACCTCGCCGCGCTCTGTTGCCGGGCAACCGCCGCCATCTTGCCTCCTCCCCCGTTGCCGGGCAACCGCCGCCATCTTGCCTCCTCCCCCGTTGCCAGGCAACCGGCGCCATCTTGTCGCCGCCCCGTTGCCAGGCAACCGCTGCCATCTTGTCGCCGCCCCATTGCCAGGCAACCGCTGCCATCTTGTCGCCGCCCCGTTGCCGGGCAACCGCCGCCATCTTGTCGCCGCCCCGTTGCCGGGCAACCGGCGCCATCTTGTCACCGCCCCCGCGGCCGTTCCCGCAGCGCGCATGCCCGCGGGCCGCGCTCCCATTGGCCGTTTCAAACGGCGGCGGCGCGGGAGCGATGGCGGCGGCGGAGGAGAGCGGTGCGAAACGGGGCCGGACGGGGCGCTTGTGGGGGAAATTTGGGCACTTATGGGGCACAGAGGCACTTATGGGGCACGGAGTGACGCTTACGGGGCACTTATGGGGCAGAAGGACGCACTTATGGGGCAGAGTTGGACACTTATGGGGCAGAGTTGAGCACTTATGGGGCAGAAGGACGCACTTATG